AAATAGATTTTATATTTTAAACAGTTTTTAGAGAAAAACTGAGCAGAAATTAGAGTTCTATATACTTCCTTCCCTACCCCAACACAGTTTCCAACACAGTTATATTATTATAACAGTTAATAATAACAAGATTTTATTAACATCTTGCATTAGTGTGGTACATGCGTTACAACTGATCAACCAATAGTGTTACATTATTGTTAACTAAGGTCTGTAGTTTACATCAGGGTTCACCCTCTGTGGTGTACAGTTCTACGGGTTTTCACAAATGCATAATGTCATATGTTCACCATCACAGTATCATAGAGAAGAGCTTCACTACCGTAAAAGTTCCCTCTGCTCCACCTACTTGTCTGTCCCCACTCCCCTACTATGAACCCCTGGCAATCACCCATCTTCTCACTGTCTCTATAGTTTTGTCTTTTCCAGAATCCTATATAGTTGGAATCATACAGTATGTAGCCTTTTCAGATTGGCTTCTTTCGCTTAGTCATATGCATTTAAGATTCCTCCATATCTTTTCAAGGCTTGATAGCTCATTTCTTTTTATCGCTGAATAACATTCCATTGTCTGGATGTACCAGTTTGTTTACCAGTCACCTACAGGCCATCTTGGCTACTTCTAAGTTTTGGCAGTTAGGATTAAAGCTGCTATGACATTCTATGAAGGTTCTTGTGATATAAGCTTCTTTCCTTTGGGTAAATACCTAGGTGTACAACTGCTGGATCGTAGGGTAAGAGTATGTTTAGTTTTGTAAAAAACTGCCACAGGGTCTTCCAGTGTGGCTGTACCGCTTTGCATTCCTATCAGCAACGAACAAGAGTTCCTACTGCCCCACATTTGGTGCCGTCACGTGTTGGATTATAGTCATACTAATAGATGTATAGTGGTACCTTGTTACTTTAATTTGCAATTCCTTAATGAAACATGATGTTGAACATCTTTTCATATACTTATCTGCCAGCTGTATATCATTTTCCATGAGGCGTCTGTTCGGACCTTTTGTCCACTTTTTAATTAGGTTGTTTGTTTTCTTATTATTGAGTTTTAAGAATTCTCTGTGTATTTTGGCTACAAGTCCTTTATCTGATATGTGTTTCAGAAAATAGTTTCTCCCAGTCTTGTCTTTTCATTCTCAGTGCATTGATGGAGCAGTGTTTTTCATTTTAATGCCGTCTACCTCATCCGTTTTTCTCTCATGGATCACGCTTTTCGTGTTGTATCTAAAAACTCATCGCCAAACCCGAGGTCACCAAGATTTTCTCCTGTTATTTCTAGGCATTTTATAGTTTTGCGTTTTACATTTAGGTCTATGATCTTTTTAGTGATGGCTCACATTCTCTGAACGCCAAACACTGAGCAGGTACAACTGTAGAGACGTGAGGATCCCTATTAAGTGGTCCCCGTGTAGAAATCACAGTGGCTACGTGTGGTTATTTCTCCCGATCAGATTCATCTAACCTTTGAAAATTAAACAACTAAGGAAATCAGGAGATTCCAAAGAGTGATTTCTTTTTTTCCCAAGGGGGGAGAATCCAAGAAGTGACACTTTTTACATCCCTCCAATGTGTTTAGCCTCCCTATTTATGGAAAATATATTTATAGACGTTTCATTGCTAAATTCCTCAACACCAGTAGGAGGAAGGCCTTATCAAAAGAGCGCAGGCTGGCTTATGTCAAAAGGAGGAAGCGATGATGAATAGTTACAGAATGCTCTTTAAACAGTCACAGTACATCTCCCCTCTATCATAAGGTTTTTTTGCCAAGATTTTTTTTTTAAACAAAATGTCCTAAAGTGAAATTTGCACATCAGTTTCACCCTAATTAACAGGCTAGTTAGTAATTTAAGTATAATTGTACCCTGATGAAGGCTTCAGAGCAGGGAGAAAAAGAGTAAAGCAGAGACCCCAATATACCCAAGTTAAGCACAGGAATTTTCACAGGACTTGGTCTTATTGTTAAATAATTTTTATTCTTCCTTTTCCACCTAAATTAATAGACTCATATCCCAAAAGCAGATATTTCGAAGCATATCCTGAAATAATTAGCCACAGTACATTTACGTTAATTCATGTGATTCCCACTGTTTTGGGAAAAGGAATTTTACTGTAACTTTTAGAAGGTATACTTACTACAGCCAGAACTTTATCCTCCATTTCTGCTACAAGGCAATCCTAAAGGAAGAAAGAAGAAAATGAAAGCTATAAGAGCTAAAAACTTTCAGAAACCGTTGGCTTAGCTCACTAGATATTTCCTGGGGTCCAAGGAGGTCCCTGACACACCTCCCACCCTGCAGCCTGAGCGGTCCTGGACCATCTGGAGGAGAGACCTGGATGGAAGAAGAGGGCAGACAGGAAAGGAGCTGACATTTGACTCCTCCTAAGATTTCAATCTCTCCTGACCCAGGACGCTAATCATCCAAGGACCCATCTGACCAATTATTTAATCAGAAAGCCTACAAAAATCACCAGAACTCAAAGTCCACCTATTATCCAGACCGTACAGAGAGTAGGAAGCCAGAAAGAGTCCAAGAAAGTTGACAACGACTCTCAAATGTGACCCCAGGCTGAGCCAGCACTGGGCCAACAAGCCTGGAGTCTTTCGCTCTGGGCCTGCCCATAAGAATAGCTTTCAAATAAGGGCTTGAGTAAACTTAGCCACAGAGTTTATTTTAAGCACCGCTGAGATTAAATCAGGTATTTCAGTCCTTAATAGATGAAAAGCGTTCAACAAAACGTTCATTAACACACTGCCAGAAAAGTGGTCTTGAGGTATGCTATTGATGACATTAAAGAATGGGCTGGAATGCAAAGCATTGTTTACTCAGCTTAGGAACAAAAGACTCGGAACCGTATGAACCCAGTTAGCTGATGATAGGAATAACCATTGTCCGGTGGAACGTGAAACTCTCAGTTAACCTTCTAAAGCGTACCTACAGCAGATTTCAATCAACACGGCAGAGTGCATACAGAAGAAGAGGGAGATCAACGAGATTCTTGACAGTTTATTTGGCACCATTCAGTAAATCCCAAACTGGGGCACCCAAAGGAAAATGCGAATTATGTTATGTACAGGAAGGATACTGATCAAGTCTGCTGGATTCATCAAACAAAGATGTTCACTTCAATCAAAATGTCATTTTAGGTCACATTTTACTGCCACTGGGGGTAGGGGTGAAAATGTATGATATTCTACCCTATGTCATTTTATAATCAGATGTTAGGTGCCTTCTTCTTAAAAGGTTTTTCAATTTTCTCTACTAGGTAAAAATGTGGGAAATAATAGTCACTCCACTGCTCCCAAAATTTACAGACTCTCAGGAAAAGAGCAGCCTAGTGAGAAAACACTTAAAAAAAGGAAACTTAGGAATGTATTTTTGCATGTGTGAATCAGACATAAATTCAAACTCCAGGAACAACTGCTGTAAAATATGAATGATTACAGTTCAAAAGTGTGCTTTTCGTCCTCCAACTTGTGCGTGGAACTAAACCGTCAACTGCTGTGATGGCCCCTCCCCTACTCACACCAGCTGAAGGACAGAATTCTCAAATAAATGTCAACTGTAGCAAAACAGAATACTTACACAGTCTCGTGCTAGAAATAAAACTAATGATTTGTGTTTATGATTTTTCACTACACATCCCAAATGACACGAGGGCTGTTGTCCTCAGGAGGTAATCACCCACCGGCAGAGAGCTCCTGTCCATACACCGGGGCCCAAGCATCAAGGTGCATGTGTGACCTCATGGTTGATTCCTTGACGGATCCGAGAAGCCACCAGGAAAATGGGCTCCTGTGGTGATGGAGCCAGTGGGAGAGGGGCGCACCTGTCTCCACGAACTGTCCAAGGCAGCGTGTGAAAGTGCCGCTTTTTACCTTCCGCCCCCGTGAACGTGGGTTCCCACACCCATTCCTACCGGGAGGAAGCAGCTGCAGGCCTGACTTCATGCTATTTGGCATGAAGGCAACAGAATGGAAAAAAGAAGAACTGGAAGCAAGTCAGCCCTTATGACCCCGACAGCAGGCCTGAGCTTTGTCACATTCCTTGGTCACCTGAATCAGCAGGCTCAGGCCAATCAACCTGGCAGAGACCCAGCCAGGGCAGCTAGCAGCTGCCCCTTCTCTGCCACTCTTCCTTATTCTACTCTCTTACTAACTGAGGAGCCTTGGGAGACGGGTTTAACCTCTCCATAGCTCAGTTTCCTTCTCTGGAAAGTGTGGATGATAAAACCTGTCTCAGAGAACTGTTGAGAATTAAACGCGACAACACAGGTCAGGCAGACAGTCCACACCTGAGACCCAACCAGCTCCCACAAATGGTCTCCTGACTTTCCCTCCTCTGCTGGACGGTATGCTTTCTTTCCACGCAGTTTTTCTGGGCTCTCTACTGCTCAGCATTTCTTCCTACACTGGAACCCGGCATCTACCACTGCCATGTTGTCTCCTGCCAGTTTTCATGCCCTCGCAACTTCAGGAGGACCGATTAAAGAAAGAGATCAGAATCCCTTCCCACCAGGAGACTTCACCTGAAATTATAGCCTGAAAACTGGATGGAAGGTCTATCCACGGACTCGGCGTGGGACGTAAATGAATCGCTTTGCTATACACCTGAAACTAACACAACATGGTGAATTAACTATACTTCAACTAAAAAAAGGAAAGAAAAAAAGTTAATTAGCACAAGGAAGAAGAAGAGTGCCCTTTTCTTATGGAGGAAGAAAACAACAACTGTTTATCCTTCCAACCTGGAGAGGTACACACTGTCATCAGAGGGAAGGATGCAGAGAAAGTAACAAGAAAGAGGCGGGGAGAGTGGCAGTATGTGGAACAGAGAAAGAAGAAAAGGGACAGACAAACGCCTGTCTTCAAACACACGGACACAGAGAAAAAAGACTCTAGGAGAACATGTTCCTTGTCATCAGAAATAAAGAGACACAGCTTTTATTCCTTCAATTCTCCAGGAAAAAAAAAAGCAATAAATGGAAAAGGCAGGTTTCTTCCTAAAGAGTCAAAAGATCTTTTGCCAAGAAGTTTGGAGATAAACTGCACTTCTCGCAGTTGTGAGAGGGTGTGAAACCCCTGGCAAATTCAGCCTTGCTGCTGCCACGACACCGCACGTGGAAAAAGACATTCCACTCATCCTTCAACTGTGCACACAAATTTTACTACTTGCCAAAGCGACTACGTTCTCCAATTACTACAGAAAACACACGTCCGTCAAGAGCTAAACATGTTTTTCAAACTAAGTTCATAAAATGACATTCCCACATATATTTACACATTGCCAGTCTTAATCCTTAAAAATTGTTCAAATTGAAATAAACTAAAAAGTACCAGAAATCCCAACATGTTTGTTAACTTTGTCGTCTTCTTAAGCCATCAAGTTCGGCTCCAGAAAAGCAGTACCAGAAAAGATTTTTATATTTCCTACTATAGGCTACTATTTCTTAAGTAGGCACTGTGCTATACATATATCTTATTTAATCTTCATAATCTTTTGATGTAGGTATTACTATTTTTTAAATATTCTATACTAATTCTCTAGATCTAATTTTGCATGAGTAAAATGTGGTCACATACATGCTTTTTGTAAAAGAATAAGTGTTTTCTGTTCTTTGGCTTGCCTCCTACATTCTCTCCCCACTTTTCTCCCAGCCAAAGTAATCCCAACTTTTCTTCCAGCCAAAGTAAACCCAACTTTTCTTCCAAATTGCCCACTGTATTTATATATTCCTTTGTATATAGGTTTTCAGATGTACTGCATATTACAAATACATATATACATACATTTAAAAAAATTTTGGTCACCATTTGTCTTCCTCTTACACTTTTTTTCCCTTTTTTCTTACTCCACAATAACTTGTAGAAATTCCAGCAAATCATCTGGTAAGGTAACTGTTAGTATTCCCGTTTTACAGGTAAGAAAATTGAGACTCATAAGTTTGAAGTGACTTGTCCAATGTCCCAGGGCTAAGTAATGGTAGCAGTAGGATTTGAACCCATAGCTGTCTGTCTCTGAAGCATACGCTCAATGAGCACCAAAAGGAAAACAAAAACAAAAAATAAACACAAATAGAAACAATACCTGTTGTGTCCCTTAAGTTTGGGTTAAATTTTTCCTGATAAGTGACAAATTCTCAACAGCATATTTGTCAAAAGCATTATCTCATTCGTTTAAACACACATTTAAAAAGTACCATGAATCATGGGCCAGGCATCATGCGGCCCCAGTAAACAGGGGTAAGTGATGAGAATGCCCAGTGGGCACCCTTTTGAGTGGGATCTGTACCCCTGGGCAGCCTCTACCGCAAATGCCAGGACTTGGTGGCTACATGATGAATCTACCGTGATTGGTATCAGACTCTTTCTGTCAAGATTATTTTATGCACCATAAAAAAGAGCTGAAACTCAGAGCCACTTTACTGCTCTGAGCATTTTCCTAAGAACATGGCCTCAAAAGCATAATGATGAAGTCCCACGTGCCTCAAGTTCAAGGGCTGCTCAGGACTGGACCTTAAACAACAGCCAAACTTCACTCTTCATGTTCCCGGGAACAGACAGAAAGCACATAGCTTTTCAGAACTGCATCTACTTTATGGCATGGTTGGAACTGAGGAAAGGATGTTCTTTACTTTTTGCCAAATCACCAGTGGAAACAAATGTGCAATCACAGAATTTTCAAACCTAGTGAGATGTGAAAAAAGAACAAGTTCTTCCTTACATTTTATGGCCTCAACTCAATTCAAAAGTAATTTTACAACAGTCTGCTACATGCCAGTTAATATCTTCCTGGCCTTCACTAAGATGTGAAGGTCTGGCAAATGAGCTGTGTGTGAAACTGACGTGTCACTTCCAAACCAGAACATTTGTCAGTGTGAGAATCACCCAGGTTCTCTGCACCTCTGCCCCAGAGACAAACAACATAAGATACTGGTTGTTCTGTTAGCCTACAACCTGAAGTGAGGCGAGCTGAAGCAGATCCCTCAGCTGACCCATTTGGATGTAGATAATCCAGGAATAAATTGCTGAGGTTTGGGGGCTGTTTGTTACTGAATCACCACCAAGCTCCTACTGACTGGTTAGCCTAACCACCAGAGGTCAAAATGGAAAGAAAATTAACAAGCAGATACAGTAACATACTCAGAACAAAGATTATGGTGAAATGTAGTTACTCCAGAATTTCTATTTAAAAAAGATTAAGTGCTCTAACATTTTAGAGAAAGTACAGGGCTATTAGCTCAACTATTTTAAAGCAAAAGAAGGTAATCTTTGATGTAAAGGTCACTGGTCATCTTTCACAGAAACTATCTGTAAAGGCATCTAACTTAAAGCCCTTCATCTCTCCCCAGCCCTGATGGGGGGATAAGGGGGAGAAAGAATGGTACTTCATACCTGCATGTAAACCCTTTGAAGAAAAGGAAAATGGAAAAAAAACTTTTAGAAAACGCCAGTGATGTACTGACCTTCTGGACTGTAGTGGTCAGGTCCAAGCAAAGCTGAATGATTTTGTTCTTCGTTATTGAGAAATCAGTGATCCCTGTAAATGGAGCCCTAGAAAGCAATGGAAATTCTCTTAAAAAAAAAAGTGGAGAGGATGAACCCACTGGGATTCCCACACTGTGTGTTAACAAGCACAGCTACACAACAGGCTGGTTTAAATTGTTATGTAACTGTTTCCTCTCAAGTAACACACAAAATAGGAATCTCAATAGAACAGAGACAGAGAAGTTCTAGATAAAAACACATCCAAAAATGAGCCAAGAGAATGAACATCCCTTCAAAAGTCAACTAACAGCCTTCATACAAACAAATAACCAGTAACATTTAACCTCAGTAAAACTCAACTTAAACTCTTCTCTAAGCTGAGGTTAATTTGTTCCTGCTATTCACCTCAGGAACTTCCAAAGGGACCCTAAAATGGACCACTGACCCCAAACTCCAGGACAGGTCCAATGGCAAGGGCAAGAAAGGGATAAAGGTTCCTCTTCCTCAGGCAAAACACTGACTTCTCTGCATCTCAGACCCTCCCTTTACAGGACAGTAAAGCACACCCATCACTTACCGGTCCAGCCAAGCTAATAAGGCCTTGGCAGCGCCTATGAGCTCCACCACAGAAGTCAGGAACTCATTGGGGGGCTTGTGGGAGGTGTTCCCATCATAGGCTGGACTTTTTCTCCGGCTGCTTATGTAATTCTGTAAATTGTGGGAAGATGCTCGCAGTTTTAGAACCAAGTTTTTCATATTGTCGGTTTCAAGGCCATAATTCTGGAAAACAAAATCAAAGGGAAAAATTCAAAACAATCAACAATGTCCAAACTCTCATAATAACCAAAAACCCACTGAGTTACCTGAATAACTCCTATGTCAGCCACAAAACCCTACATGATTTGCTCACAGTGTTGATCTCACCCACATGGGCCACACCAGCCTTGCCTCTGTTCCTCTTGCCTCAGGGACTTTGTCTTGCTAGTTTCTCTTCCCGAAATTCTCCTCCCACAAAGTTTGGCATGGACAGCTCTTTCCTATCACATCCTAATTAGCCAAATGTCCCCTCCTCTTCAAGGCTTCCAGGACCATCTGGAGCAGTTCCTCATCCTGGGCCCTAGTGACACTGAAAGCCTAATAATTGTTTGTTTGGGTTGGGGGGTGGGATTCCTGTAGATGGTAGAATGTTTAGCTGGCCTCTACTCGTTAGGTATCAGTAGCATCCGGTCCCCAGTTGTGACAAACAAAAATGCCTCCAGACACTGCCAAGTACCTCCTGAGGTCACTCTCTAGCCATCACCTCTGTCATCTCTGAACCACCTTGTTCACTGCTGTCTTTCTAAGTCAGGTGCAAGGTCTGCGAGAGCTGGGCTCTGTGTGTATTACTCATGACTGCATTTCCAGGACAGCAGACGTAAAGCAGTCATTGAATGGAGGAATTTCCATCAGATAAAAGTCACACAGAAACAGAACAGCACTGACTAAACATCAATTCACCTGGAAGGTCATTTCCATCTTGTGAGCTTCTAACCTCCGTTCTTTCTGAACAGTGTTTGACTTACCTGGATGCTTTTAAAAATTCCGTTTCACGTGATAATATTGCCCTAGACTACTCTCTTCCAGATAAAGAACAAATCCCAAGTAACAACAAGAAATGACATGTAAATCTGACGTGACTTTGGGGGGAGGATGAATTTCAGTATTCAACTGCATGTACACATCCTAAATTGGCGTTTCATCCTTTTTTTAAGAAAAAAGTGAAAATATTTCTGGGGTATATTAAACTGTCAATAGCATCCCAAAGCAAGAATGTGGTATCATTTAAAAATTGGTTATAATATATGGCCAACACTATTGAACACTTTATGCCAGAAACCGGGCTTAGTGCTCGGCAAATATTATCTCAGGTAAAACAGCGTATGAGGGTGGAAGTGATATTATCCCTATTTTGCAGGTAAGAAAACTGAGGCACAGAGACATTCAATAAATTCTCCGGAGTCACACAGCTAATCGGTGGGAGTCGGGGGGGATTCTAACCAAGGCAATCTGCATCGAGGGTACAAGCTTTGGATCACGATGCTGTATATGCCCCCTTCCACACGCCCTGTCCAAGAACGGGCAAAGCGATGAGACAGAAACCAGGATGGGCACTGGACAAGAAAAAAGAGAAGTGGCCAGTCATCCTGGATCTAGCACAAACTAGCAAACTGTTTAAGCCCCCTAAGTTCTATCCTGACCTGCTCCATCCCCTATGATGTGTTAGAAGCTTCTTTCAGTCAGCTTCGGCCAACCTGGACCTCACTCTTCTGAGAGGCCGGTGAGCCCTCTTTGGATCTGATCACTGCTTTTGTCCCCACTGCATCTAGCCTGTCCCTTGGTCCCTCCTCTGTTATAGCCCCATCTCTAATGCCTCAGGGAGGGGTGAGCCATGTCCCCAAATCAAGAGACATAAAGCATAAATAAGCCAGGGAGTCTGTGAGAACTTTTTTCTTTTGGCAAGATGAACAATGGTAAGTAGCAACAGTAACAACAAAAGACAATACCCTGAATGAAAACATTGCAAACTTTCATTAGGTTTTATGTGAAGTTTAGATTTATGTGGCATGTTGCTTCTTAGAAAATAAAAAATATTTTTTAAAAATTTATATAGAAAAGAGTTAAGAACAATTATAAAGAAAAAAAACTCTTCAGATGCATTAACTGAAATTGTCTTTGTGAGCTTTAAAAAAAAATGTAAATTTAAGAACAAAAATGAGTCTTCTGTATTAACAGTGATGTTCCATCTAAACTTGATATTCATTCTTTTTTTTTTCCACTGTCATTTTCTGGAGATCAAAATATGGCATTGTCCTTCAGTAGAGAAGACAAAAATAAAAAGATGTATTTTCACCATGGCTTTTTTTTTTTTTTTTTTTTCGGTACACGGGCCTCTCACCGCCGTGGCCTCTCCCGTTGCGGAGCACAGGATCCGGACACGCAGGCTCTTAGGCCATGGCTCAGGACCCAGCCGCTCCGCAGCATGTGGGATCTTCCTGGACCGGGGCACGAACCCGTGTCCCCTGCATCAGCAGGCGGACTCTCAACCACTACGCCACCAGGGAAGCCCCACCATGGCTTTTTAAATCAGAGAATCAAAGACTCAAAACTGAGTGGATAAAGAGCCACATGACACAGCCTGTTTTGAAGCACTTGTGACTATGATTAAAGGGAAGTGTCCCCTTATTCAGTCAGCCTGCCGACTTATAACAAGAGCTCTGAACTAAAAGCAGGAAACTCAGCTTTCTATAGCCAATGACACCATGAATTACTCGGAACTTTTATTACTGTAGACAACATTTATTTCTTGAACTCAAAGAGGATTAAATTCATCTTAGTGTTACAGGAAATTTTAAACCTCAATCTTCTACAAACCTACCACTTTTAATATTAAAATAAAGGAGAATGTAGCTTGTTAACTGGTTCTTTTCATTTCCATTCAGTTTCTCTGATTCTTTTTTTTTTTTTTTCCCAAAAAACAAATCGTGGGACTAGAAGGATAGACAGATGTAGCTATAATAGATTATAATTTTATTTTATGTTTTAAGGTACTTCAGAAATTTTAATCAGTTTTATTAAGGTATACTTTATGATGCATAAAACTCACTAATTTTAAGTGCACGACATAATCAATTTGAACAAATGTATATAGTCACATAAGCACCATCACAATCACAATACAGAACATTTGCATTGCCCCCAAAACATCCCTCATACCCCTGCATAGTCACTTTCCCCAACCCCCAGGCCCTGGCAACCTCTGATCTTCTTTCTGTCACTGCAGTTTTGCTTTTTCTATATAGATTATAATTTTAAAAAGCAGTAAAGAAGGAACAAAGAAAGGAAGGAAAATTCCATCCCCTTCCACCCCATTCCACAATAAGAAGAGAACAAGAAACTGATTATATTAGCTCCAAAGAACCTCTACTATAGAAACATAATTAGGAAAGGATTATTGACTTAAGTGTCCCACAATGAAAGACAGTAAATGAATAATTTCTCAGACCAGATCTGATTATTTTCACTAATCTTTTCCCTAATATCTGTCTCCTTCAGAAATTGCTTAATTTAAGATAAGGCATCGAGACAGTACAAAGTAAGAAATGAAATGAATCTCCAAAAATCTAGACACGTACTACAAACCTTCCACTGAGATCTCACGTCATTAGAAGTTAGCCATCAGGGGTCATTTCCTGGTCTGGCTAGAGAAACAACACATGAGACAGGAGAAAAGGAAAGAGGCAGATGCTCACTCTTCTGGTGTCATAAATTGTACACATTTTACCTAAGGACAAACCTCACACAACTTCTCCGCCACTTTCTTTCCCCATTCCTACTAGCTCTGTCTGTGGTCTAACATACATGGTGATTAAGGAGTTTCACAGTCACACAATCAAATCCATTTTACTGACTTGGGTCAATTAAGTTTCAGCCTAAGAAGTATACTTCACAGTTTAATAAGTTCATAAGCAAGATCAAGTTAAATACAAATTGCTAGAATAGATTCCTCTTCCTTCACTATTTCTCCCCATAACAAAAATGATACCAGTTTTTAACTGTTGCCATGGCTGGGTAAACAGTGAGTCATCTCAGGGGTACACTCAGGGGTACACGAGTGCACAGAAGCACCCAGGGCAGGTGGATACATTACAGGTATTTCACTTAAGCACACAGGTAGGTGGCATCACTTCATACGTGTAAGGATTCCAACTTTGTTCACTTTCTCAGGCTACTTCAACCTTAAAAACAAATCTGCCCCTGCCTCGGTCTTTAGGAAACTAGGGTTTGGTTGATCTGGCAACGAAAATGGGTCTCACAATTACACATTTTTACTCTCAATCCCACCCTAGAGACAAATGCTGTCCCCAGCAGAACTTTCTGCAATGATGAAGATGTTCTCTATCTGTACTATCCAAATATGGTAGACACTGGCCACAAGTAGCTACTGAGCACTTGAAATGTAGCTCTGTGACTAAGGAACTGAATTTTATTATTTCACTTTAATTAATTTTAATGTAAATAGTCACATATGGCTAATAGCTACTGGAAAAAGCAGCTCTACAGCCGGTCCCAGTCACCCTCTGCCCCAGACAGAGGGAGAAAAATTGGGCTCCGACTCTGAACTCAATCCTGGGAAGTGGTCCTGGTTTGCCTCAGAAAACAAGTCACTCTCTCCTAAGCCACTCCAGCCAGCCAAGGTCAGTGTTCACAAAAGGGAGTTTTTCTCCTTGCTCCCTATCGGTTTTGGAACCTTAATCAATAGCTATTCCCTATTTTAGATTCCTAAAGATCCTATCAGCACTTTTCTTTCCAAAACTTTCCAGTGGTTTTTGTTTTTTCCTCCCCATCTCTTACTTCTAATTCTACTCATTTCCTGTCCATCATAAAATCAACAGCCACTAAACTGTTTACATAAAAATGTCTTCCATAATACCAGGGACAACAGCAAACACATATTAACTGTCCAGGGGATGGACAGTTCAAGGCAAAAACTTACCACCTATTTATATACACAAAGATCTATATGGTGTGAATGGGTTAAACACAGTATAATCAATAGATGCATTACCATAAGAATATTTTAAAAGGAGATTATAGCAAGGCTAAAGATATTTTAGTGAAATGATCTAAAATCCTCCCCAACCCAGAAAAGGCACATTCATTTAAGAACTCTCTGTGACCCTCGTGTCAAATGCATTCACTGGCACTCTGCTACACGAAACATGTCCAGAATGAGTCTGAGGTCAAAACTTTGTCTACAAAGGAAATTAGGAGGAAACTGTAAGAGATAAAACACAGCTTTAGGTTCTGGCATTTGTCCAGCGCTGTTCACTTTAGTCTAATATTTTAAGAGGTAGGGAAGGGAGGTAAGCGGGGAGGCAGCTGTTACGTTAATTATCCCACTTGAGGTCCACAACGTGCCTCCAGTCCATCCTGCCTGCTCTCCTCCCACACTGTGGATTTCAAAGTTATTGACCTGCCCTCCAAGTCCTACCACAAAGTGAAAGAGACGATCTGAAATAGCAGAAAAGTCCAAAAAGTAATGTTCCCAGAAAGGACAAGACTAAACTCAAACATGTCTTACTGTATGAAAAACAAACAGTTTTAATAATAAACAGGACTCAGATATCTTCTGGGCAGTGCAAAACACTTACAGGTTAGTACACAGCCACATCTAGGGGAGCAACACTGTACAAACGGGGAAAACACACACCACCATCTCCCTGGAGGTCGCAGAGCCAGGAGTGTGCAGAAAAGCCTGGATTAAAATGCAAAAGCCTGCTTCCCAGACCAGCTCTCACATCACTTGGCCACAGCATCTTCCTGGTGGCAGCTCATTTATCAACCACAAATAATTTCCCCATTACTTTCCTAAACAAGAGTAGCACATCTCAGAGCAGAAGACAAGGCTCTATCCACTTTAAGAAGAAGAACACGCACAATGCAACAAGTGTTAAAGGATCAATGGAACGCGGACCAGCAATGGCAAAATAATCGGGAGCACATTTTTTCCCACCATTCTCGGTGATATAATTGTATACACCCCTTGCTCAGGTTCACAGCGTAACTAAACCAGCCTGAATGCTGCCGACTTTGCCCAAATCCTGACAGTTAAGGAAACAGCATCCTTCGCATGGCATCACAGCAGACTGACAAGGATCCCACCCTGTGCCAACCAATTTATAAACACAGTACCCTTGGAGGTGGTTTTAAACCATACCTAAAAGAGCTACTACCCACACGGCCACAGATGTAATGACGAGTCGGAACCTGGCAGGATTTAACTCACTCACGTTCAAGCCAAAACTCAGTCAGCTGCGAAATGTAACTAAGTTCACATTTTTTCCCATCTAGCTGCCATTCCACAGGTTGATTATTCCAAGCACCAGTATCAGTTATTGAAATATCACAGATATCTGTGAAACATAAAAATTCTTTTTATAGTAACAAAAACAGACACGAAAATCAGAACCCATTTGTCCTTTCAATATAGAAGATGACATGTTCATTCAGGACCATCTTCATCTTTTTCTTCTTTTTGAAAAGATAAGAAAATAAGATGAATACAGAAATTTTTTCCATAAAAGGCCAACTTTTTCTGTAAAGGCCAAGAGAGTAAATATTTTAGGATTTGAGGGGCCACACGGTCCCTGTTACCACTACCCATCTCTGCCACGGTAGCACAAAAGCAGCCACAGATAACACTTAAATGAATGGGCATGGTTGCGTTCCAATAAAACTTTATTTACAAAAATCGTGGGCCAGATTGAACTTGTAGGCCATCGCTTGCCAACTCTACCTAGCAAATGATTTCTTTTCTTCCCTTCTGATATTATATTCAGCTCACGCTCTACTTCCATGGATCATTAAGAAAATGATGATAAGCTAAAGTGCAAAACTGTGGAGATTTAGAAGATGAGATTCTTAAAAACATATGGCGGTACAGATCACCTTTTCCTGAACTAACCAGTGCACAGAGAAGGTCGACAGCCTCCAACACAAGTTCCTGGTGTCCAATTCGTGTGACACCCAGCTCCTCAAGATCCTGATGGGAAATCTGCAGCAGCTGCTCTCCATTTATCTTCTCCCGTTCAAACTTGTAGACATACTGCTGCAGGCAATCATCTAACCCTACCAAAAAAAAAGCAAAAGCGTCCATTATTGTCATTTTTGTTCCTTTACTCAAAAAGATGCCCACATTTAAATCAACCTCAGGAATTGCCAATTATGCTCCACTATTTGATTGTCTATACAATGTATATTCCACCTGAAGGACATCTTTCAAATGTGTCCTCATCTTTTTAAGTAGATTTTAAATCTAATGCACAGCTTATTTGTACAGCAGAAAGTAACACAACATTGTAAAGCAATGCTACTGCGATAAAAAAAAAAGGTTAAAATGGTCAATTTTATGTGCTGTATCTTTTACCACCTTTAAAAAATAAATAATTTAAAATGTTTTATTTTTAAAAATGCAAAAAGAGAAATTTCAAATGGATCCTACACAATTTTTTTTTTTTTTTTTTTTTTTTTTGCGGTACGCGGGCCTCTCACTGTCGTGGCCTCTCCCGTTGCGGAGCACAGGCTCCGGACGCGCAGGCTCAGCGACCACGGCTTATGGGCCCAGCCGCTCCACGGCATGTGGGATCTTCCCGGACTGGGGCACGAACCCGTGGCCCCTGCATCGGCAGGCGGACTCTCAACCACTGCGCCACCAGGGAAGCCCTATCCTACACAATTTTGACAGTTACCATCCCATTCCCTTTCAGCTAAAAGAATAAACACTAACCCCTGCTGACTTGAAATGCTAGTTATCTGTGCTAGACATATGTTTGTCTGTTTGCTAAGCAGTCTTCCTCTGGAACACCATCCCTCTCCCAGCCCATGTGATCCCAGTGGACTTGCCAATCAAGATGCTTTGCCACAGTGATTGGCCACACTATTCTATCCATCAGCCAGTTATAGGTTCAGGGATGACCATGTGACTCAAGCAGAACCAATCAAAATCTTCCCTGATATTTGATATATGAACATAGGAAGAAAGAGTCCCCTTCTTCCTTTCCAACTACAAGTCATAAAGATACAAACTTGGGGACACTGGCAGTCATTTTTCTGATCAGTTTTACAAAATAAATCTATTCGAGACAAAGAAGATGTCCCAGTAAAGCCAACATGTCCCTGGATCTAACCCTACTTAAAGATACTTCTAACCCCAGTACTTTTTACTTAAATCAAAATAAATTCCCTTGTTAGCTTAAGCTTATCTGTGTTGAGCTTCTGTCCCTTGCAACTGAAAAAGTTCTGATGAATACAAGATCTAGAGGAGTAGGTACCAGCAGTGGTACCAGAGAAAGACAATGTTAAATGGGTTAGTTTATGGGAATTTTTCCAGGTCAAATACTACTGCCAACAGTGTTTTAATGTTCTTATATAATGATTAAAATAGGTAATCCTAAAAGAACTTGGGATTCTTTACTCCTGTATAGAGAACTCTCTGGTCAACACGTTAATGGTTTTACTGGAAAATCTTATACTAAATTAGTTGATCTATTTAAGCCCAAAAATAAAAGCCACCTTAGTGTTTTAAAAGGTAGATTTATATAAATTCAATCCCAACACAAAGGATGAAAACTCAATTTAACTAGAATAAAGTATGTGGAAGGCATGCTGCTGTCCCCTTCCCACCCAAACACACAAGCACACACACACATACACAAACACACTTCATTTAACTCTCACGAAAGTTCTCTATGCGGGTACTCTGAACCAGGAAAAGTAGACGTAGGTCAGGCACTTACTTCTGGCAATACTAAGGTCCATGCATCTCAAAATCTGATATCCTAGGCTAAATGATATCTCTGCCCCACTTTTTTGAAAGTTTTGAAAGCGGCAAAAGCTTTCACCTCCTGATAAGATGTAGAAAGAGGAGCAATGTCCTGATAACCGTTTGGGACGATCAAATAAATACAGGAAGAAGAGGTTAAGAAAAAATTAATTTTATGATAACTATTCAGAACCAACCCATCTTCCCTGAAGTGACATGTGTCTATCAGAGGGGATCTGTCACACAGCAGCACGGTTGGGGACACTGATATAAACTCAGTTCTACTTTGATGGCCTCGAGCCACAAGTGGCCTCCATGGCATGTGAGTTGAGCAGGCAGTCCGCAGGCATGGAGTGTCGTGCCACTGGGGCAGCCAGGGGCAGCTGCACAGAATCCAGCTGCAGTAGTCAACAGTGACAAGGGCCAAAAGCCGAGGAGAGCCTCCTTACAACTTTACTCCCATTTCATAGATGACTAAATTAGGGCTCGTGTAAGTGGCATAACTTGTCCACAGTCACGTAGCTGGTAAGATGCCAAGAGAAGGATTTTGTCAGCCATTTTCTTCAGCTCAATACAGAAGAGCTCAAATTCAAATCAAGGTTTGTTGACACAAGCCCTGATCCTTTTGCATTCTACCCTGCAAACATGAGGTTATAAAAATTCCTCTCCAAACACCTTCCTAAATCAGCAGTAAGGGCTAATTACAAAACAGTTATTATTAAAATAGAATCATGGAAACCTAGAGGTACTTAAAAGATACTTCACATTTTATTGAATCCAAAAAATTAGGAAAGTATGGACAAAGGACTAATTACTATGAATTTTGCCCTAAATGACTTAGCCAGTTTTAAGCCAGATCAAACCAATATCTTACAATCTCCCCTCCTTCAGAAGGTTCTCTTCCTTTGCCTACTTTTAAGCTTTAAAAGGAATTTTTGTTTTAACTTGTCATAAAAATTTAAGACAAGTATATTGTACATTTCAACCCTGTCATGGCTGAATTGATCTTCCTAAGATTCATATGTTGAAGTTCTAATCAGCAATACAATACCTCAGAACATCACTGTATTTGGAGGTAGTGTCTTTAGAGGTGATTAAGTTAAATGAGGTCATATGGATGAGCCCAAACCCAATATGACTGAGTCCTTATAAGAAGAGGAGACACACATACACAGACAAGAACATGTAAAGACACAGGGAGAAGAAGGTATCTACAAGCCAATGAGAGAGGCCTCAGAAGAAACCATCTCTGCTAACACTGTGATCTCAGACTTCTAGCCTCCAGAATTTCAAGAGAATAAATTCCTGTTGTTTCAGCCACCCAGTCTGTGATACTTTGTTATGACAGCCCTAACAAACCAACACAAACCTAATAACACTTTATTTCATGTTCATCCACATGTGATAAACTCTTTCCTAAAATAAACAAGGCCCAATGACCAAAAGAATTGCAATTCATGTTTACTGTGCCAAGCAAGTTCTTTGCTCAAAATACGAGAACAAAACCAACTCATATTAGTTGTCATGTGCAGGATAAACCAGTCCACTAAGTGTAAAGTGAAGGAACCATGCACTATGGATGTTCATAAAATTTCACCCTTGAATAATAAGTAGAAATAAAGATGAGGCCAGATTTCTCTTTTTTTTTTTTTTTTTTTTTTGGTACGCGGGCCTCTCACTGTTGTGGCCTCTCCCGTTGCGGAGCACAGGCTCCGGATGTGCAGCCTCAGCGGCCATGGCTCACGGGCCCAGCCGCTCCGCGGCACGTGGGACCTTCCTGGACCGGGGCACGAACCCGTGTCCCCTGCATCGGCAGGCGGACTCTCAACCACTGCGCCACCAGGGAAGCCCCAGATTTCTCTTTTAACTATGAAAAGTTTCACTGAAGAAACAGGATTTCAGAAATAGCTTCAGTGCATTAAGGAAATATTTCGGACACAGAGAAGAAGGTTGAGATGAAAGGTGTGATGAAGTTTCTGGATAGGACAAGAGGGAACTGAACAAAACAGCAGAACATTTGCCTGAGAAAAGGCAAGAATCTCCTTGAAGATTCTGAGGAATATAAATGGTCTGACCTCAACTAATCAGAAGATCCCTGAGATGTAGGAGAATTACCAAGTAGAAACACCATGTTGCTACCTACCCAAATACAGAATCTAGAGTGGCTTAAAGACTTTCCCCTATGGAAGCAGCCTAAATGCCCGTCCACAGATGAATGGATAAAGAAGATGTGATATACATATACAATGGCATATTACTCAGCCATAAAAATGAATGAACTAATGCCATTTGCGGCAACATGGATGGACCTTGAGGTTATACTACGCAAAGTAAGTCAGACAAAGACAAATATCATATGATATCACTTATATATGGAATCTAAAAAAATGATACAAATGAATTTTGAAACAAACTCACAGACAAAGAAAACAAATTTATGGTTACCAAAGGGGAAGGGGTGGGGAGAGATAAATTAGGAGCTTGGGATTAGCAGATAAACACTACTATATATAAAATAGATAAGCAACAAGGGCCTACTGTATAGTACCGGGAACTATATTCAATATCTTGTAATAACCTATAATGGAAAAGACTCTGGAGAGGAATAGAAATACATATATATATATATATGTATATATAACTGAATTACTTTGCTAAACACCTGAAACTAACACAACACTGTAAATCAACTATACTTCAATAAAAAATTTAAAAAGTAAAAAGAATTTCCCCTCAAGGGACATGTCTATTGAATATGCTAAGTTTTAAATAGTATTGCCTCCAGTTTTATTATTCCAATACAAGATGGCCTATTGTTCAGTTATCCTATTGTTTAGAATACAATTACACATTTATAAACAGCCAAATCAAACTATTACGCAGTCCCACGAAGGAGGGGAACATCCCCAATTTCAAATAAACTGGTTTTAGAATTTGTAATACACAGTACACTTTAACCTATTTGTCAAATGTATCTATTTACCAGTTCTTTGCTTCAAGGAACTTACTGAAAGTCTAGCAGCGCTGAGAGAAACACAGAATTAAATAAAATTAGATTAAACACATTCCATTTACACAAATTAAACACATAATTCAATGTGAAAAGAATCAGGAAGGCAAAGGACAGGGAGTTCCCACAGAATGGAAGCAGCAGGGAGAGACAGCCAGACTTCCTCCCCTCTTCCCAAACCTGTAAATGACCCTAAAATTTCAGAGAAATCCCAAAGGCAAAAAGGAAAAAAAAAAGAAATATCTTACGATTTTTAAAAATACTATTTTATAATTTATATCAGAATGCAACAGGGCA